AAAGTGGGTGTCTGTGCATCCCGCCTGTCAGGGCTGCACCGCCGCATTTTCCAAGCCACTGCTAAATATTTCAAACCTGATTTGATTGTGGTTCATGACAGCTAATGTTTCTCTGCTCTTGAGCCCGCCGACAGGCAAACGCACTTTGTTTCCACCCCACCCTCAAACACTGCTCCCCCAAAGAATAAGGAAAGAACGATTTCATTCTTCAGGGATCCCAGATTGGTGTATTATTTAAGTAATGAGATCGATCGCCTGAGAGCCCTGGGTACAGATACCCTGATTCTTAGGAGAATTTCCAAACTTCTTTCACGTCGAGGCACTAAGGGGGCTTTGTCAGGTTTTGGGGAAGGTTTGTATTAATCCACATTATCCTGTTAAGGGTTCGGAACAGAGGGACCAGTCATAGTCATTGATTGACTCCCTGTCCTGCAAGTCCGTAAGCGGTTTGTGAATACACCCAGTGGATGTGGCAGGACTTGATGAACAGTATCATTTTGTAGCAAATGGCAGATTTTCTTGGGTAATGCATTCGGGGAGAGTGTGTGCTGGTGTGAGTGCTGACTTCATGATGATGCCACCTGTTTTGGCCTCTGCCCGGTGCTCCTTCCGCAAACCAATTTCCAGGTTCATAAAATTGTTGCAAATCCCCCATGGGGTTGCCAGGTGGCACACCCACCTCCTTTGGGAGCAGAATTCATCACCCACTGGGAAATTGTGCAGTCACCTTCACCACCATGGTAGGTATAAGGTTGTTAAGAGAACAGTTTGCCATTTGTGGTCAGCAAAACCACTTTGAGGGAAGGGACATTTTGTGGAGCTCTGGTTATCATCACCCCAATAACCTATGCTGCCCTAGCAACCCTTCCCTTTCAGGATGTATTTACCTGCTAAAATTCTTAGACCTGCCCTTTACCAGGAAACTTGAGTGACATGAGCAGGCTGGGTTTGGCCCGAACACTAGTAAGTGCTGTCTGGGAGAAGCAGTTGTGGAAAGGAGGTGCTGATGGAAATAGATTTTTTAATGTTTTCAGCCAGTTTTACATGAAAGGGGAAGGCAGAAGGGATACCAGGAAGACCTCACAGTTATTCAAGATTTGCTTCTATTTCCCTTTAACATAAAAATGCATCCAAAAAGGAGGGGTGCCCTAGTGTGAGGGCAGCTGCTGGGTGTATCTCATAGAGGTTGGCTTCTGTGAGAGGGACGGACGCTGGAGTCTTCTAACATAGAGACCTTCCATCTGGGATGAGCTGGGGCTGCTGCCTCCTGCCAAGAACAGGTGGGGCAGACGGAGCCGAGAATGCGCTCCTCACCCAGGTCCTGGCTGAGCCCCGGAGAAAGCATTCCTGGTGTGTTCTGATTGGGTCCTGAAACAGTATTAAATTTCTGTGGGCAGAAGATGGCTTTGACTTATCTGTTTTGGCGTAAAAATGGCACGCACGGTGTCTATTGTATGTCTTGGTGAGGGAAACCAACTTTGTCTTCTGAGGCAAAGACAGGATTTTCCAGATAAAACCGAACTGTTGGTCCATCAAGTCTTCACTTGTTTCCACCATCTGCCAGTAGCTGATATTATAGAAAAGAAAAAAAATCGACTTCTGCTCTGACCCTGGCCAATTGGTACCGACTTCACGGGTGTGTGTGGGGGATGCAGTCAGCCATCTGGGGGGGGGGCGGGGGGAGGGGCCTCCCTTCCGCTCTGCACTCTACCACCTGCACATGGGTATTAAATACATGTATATACTCCTAAAAGGAACAAGGGTTAGATAACCAGCCCCAAGAGCTCAGAGTGTGGACGCAGCTCGGTTTCAGAGCGAGAGGCCATGGTGTTCCTGGTTCCCATGTGTTTCCAGCACAAGGAGACCAAGCCCCTCCCGTGGGTGCCCGGGGCCTGGTTCTTAGCGAGAGGGGTTGCTTTAGGCATTTGGGACCAATAAAACATACCCCGCCTGCAAAGCATTATGGGCCCGAACTGGCCAGACAAATTCATAGTTTGCATCTCTTTTTTTTAATCATTTCTCTACCTTTTATTGGTACTCAGAGCTCACAGTTTTGTGGTTACTGACAGCCTGGGCTTTCATCCATTTTAAAGAGCTAGTTTTCCTCTTGCTGTTGATGATGATGGTATAAAGACAGATGGTGTAACTGCTTATGAATGTCCTGTTTTATTTCCCCAGGACCAGACAGTTCACTTGAACGCGTATATTACTTCCACATGCTCAGGTTAGGCCAGTCGCTCAGACAGTGTCTGCCTCCTGCAGCTAGCTGCCCTTCCAGGCCTCGCCATGCAGAGGGCGACACCTGTAGGTCACAGGTGGAACTGCAGGGAAGTGCCTGCTGGGCTGAATGGGACCTGGTGTTTGAGCTGGGGCTGAGGACACTGATTCACTTGTAAAGGCAGCTGGCTTGTCCAGGAGTTTCTTAATGATTTCTTCTCCCATTAAGCATATAACAGCCTTTTAGTGAATGAGTCACAAATGATCATATCAAACGTAGAAGCTCAAAAAGATGACTTGATGTTTAAATCTTAAAAAAACAGGAAAAGGAAAAAGGAAAACGAGAGAGAGGCAAAATAAGTTCCTGAGTTAACCTCTCTTGTCTGTCCTCTGATTGGAACTCAGCAGCCATCACTTCTCTGCTTGTCATAGGGCAGGGAGGGAAGAAAACAAAGCCCCAGGTGGGCTCACGGACGAAGGCTCCAGGAATATTAACAAAGCACTGCGGCTTCTTTGCTCCTTGTGTCAGTGATGTGCCGACCCTGCAAAGCCTCTGGCTGCTGAATAGATATGTCTGAAGAGGCCCAAACAGTTGGGGTCAGTGCCAGAGTGACCGTGAGGTCTTCACTCGGCGCACTGAAGGCTGCAGCCCACCAAACGCGCACGACAGAGGCGCTCACCTTGGAGACGGCCTCCCAGTGGACCAGTGCCTGCCTTCTGCTGCAGGGCAGCACCTACCTTTAGACACTGTCCATTACCGCAGAGGGCAGTCTCCATTTTGTAGGTGTCAGACTGCCTCCGTCTAAGGTGATAATGTGTGCGCGCACGCTGGAGAGAGGCCATTGAGCCATCTCTTTGCATAATCAAATTCGATTAATGTATCGGTACTATAGATATTTTGCCTCACAGCATGTATTAGGGCAAATGAGTAGTTTTAAGAGACCTTGCTACTTTGGGTAGACCCAATTTATTAATATCGATTGACTGAATGCTGGTATCACCATTCAAAGATGGATTTTATAGAGTTGAATAATTTTATCAAATGCCTAAAAATATGCATTGAACATCCTGCCCGAACATAATTAAGATGGTAAATATATCGTACTGCTTAACTTGCTTGTTATTGCTCTAGTAATACTTGTATATACATACATCTTTTTCCCCCTGCTGTATGATGTACAGTGTTGATATGGCTCTTTGTATCAGAACGACTTCAAGTCATGGTTGAAGTGATTTTTTGGTTTGAACTAAGGGTGGGTGTGGGGAGATGATTTTACCATATGGTTAGGCAAAAAGGAGACATAGAAATTATATGTGGAGGCCTCTTCGTGGGAGATGAAAATAAACTCTCCCTTACTTCATCTGTGTTCCCCACAATGGCCTCATAAACCACCTGTTGGTGATAATGAAGGAAGAATGTTCCCTGAGCCCTAGTTCAGCTTTCCAGTCCTTGGACTTCCATTGTCTTTTGGGGAAGAATTAGGAAAACCTGACTCGAAACAGATAACTTTCTTCCTCACGTGTTTTCTAAACCCTCTGAAGTCAATTGACTTTGAACTCCTTTTACTTCCTTTGTGGGATGAAATTTAGAAACTATTTTCTGGAGTGTTGGAGGGTATCACACCTTGAAATATTGAAAAGAAGAGTTGTATTTGGAGGGACCTAGGGTGACACTGGATAGAGCCCCAAATCCACGGTCCTAGACTGGACCCTAATACCAGGTCCCCATGGATCTAGTGCCGGCCTCCGGTGACAGATGTGGGCAGCCAGGTGCTTAGATCTCTACACCCAGGAAGGTGTATTCCTCATAGCGTCCTAATAGCGTCAGCATTAACCCACCTTGGTTTGCCTGCCTTATTCATTCATTTAAACCATTCTCAATGAATGCTTTGGATACTGAGCCAAAGGGCCAGGAGGGCAGGAGAGAAAGGCCTCGCTTCCTTTTCCCTGGCATCTAGAGTGTCTTATCCTCTTCTTCCCCACGCTACTTTCTGATGAACCGAATGTTGGAAATGACGGCTATTCTACCTTCACTAGAGCACTGTGTGTTGAGCTGGAGACAATTTCCTTGGTTAATTTTAAACCAGTGGTGGGTAAGGAATGGAGTGACTGCAAAAGGCAAGTATATGATGATTGTGTTACATTCCCCGCCCCCTTGCTCTACAAATCTAGCTTCTCGCCTCTGATGCCTGGCATGCCCATAGGTGACATTTTCTAGAGCTCTTCACATTGATGAAATACCGTCACTGATATTCTATGACTCTTCAGGATATGAAATGACTGTTGTAAAAAAAAAACACAGTCTGGCACGTGCACAGGCCCCGCAGGGGTCAGTGACTGGGTCCAGTCTTGTTCAATGCCAGGATGCCCTGGGCTTGGAGCTAGGCAAGAAGCTCCTTTTTTGCCCTTTCAAAAGTGTAAAAATTTGCATTTTCACGTGTGAAAGGCTTGCATGTAACTTTGGGAATTTGGATAGAGTTATTTCTTCGACAGGATTGGCTTTTCAGTAAGAAAAGCTCAAATGAGGCATTCAGAATCCATCTGGAAATGTCCACACACTTAGAGCGAGTCACAGCCTCGTACCAACAGGTGGAGTCCCCGTGGCTTACCCAGACCCTGGTGTAGCCGCGTGCCGTCGGCCTTCTGGGGACTGCTGGGAAGAGAGGAGGGATGGTCGTTGGCGCCTGTGTCTTGTGGTTGGTAATTCTTGGGAGTAGGAGCCAACAGTCCTGCATCTTCTGTCTGCTTTTAGTCGTTGACGTTTTGTTTTTCTTCTGTTGCAGAAGAAGCCGTTGAAGATGTTGAAGGGCCCAGTGAAGCGGCTGCTGATCCAGAGGAGGTTGCTAAAGACCAAGAGAGTGGAGGCGAGAAGGACCAGGGCAAGTGGACAGGTAGCGTGTGTGGCTGCCCGCCAGCCCCCAAGTGTCTGCCCTGGAGGAGGGAGGCTGGGGGTTGGGAACAGACACACCTTTAATCCACCCAGACAAACGGGGGGGGGCTCTGAAGAGATTCACCCCCTGAATCTCTTGAGGAGTCAGCAGTGATGGGTGGGCTTCATCCTGCATTTGGGGGCATGGGCAGGCTCTGCATGTTTTTTGTGCCCTACCTGGCCCCCAGGTGAGCACCCACACCCTAAAATGCATCCAAAGGGGAGGCAGGCAGTGCAGCCATGCAGGAAAATGTCTTACTCAAAGCAGCAGAAATTGAAGAAGTCAGGAAAGGAAGTGCTGTTTCTGGAAAAGCTGGCGTCAAGAGAAGAGGGACGGCCGTCCCGCTTGATGCTGGATTTCTGTACTGAGGGAGAGAAGCGCTAGGACTGAGAAGGGAAGCTTAGGGGTTTTTTTTTGAGGAGGAGCAACATTGTTTCTGAGAAGACTTATCGGGACAGATATGTCTCCCAGAAACAACCACAATAATTAGAGGAAATGATATGACAAGCAACAGAAATTATTGTATTTGGTCAACCCAGTTCTTACTGCCTTCCATTATTAATATTGTAATACTTAGATTTTTTTTTTTTGAGAAAATATTTACCTTCTGGAGTCTGTACTGGTTGGGCCTTTGTTACATTTCCAGGCACAATTGTTCTTAAATCACGTTCAGTGTTGGCCTTCACAATTTAAACAAGATACAGAACCTTGGAGACAGGCCAGAGGAGAGTAATGAAAATGACTGAAGGCTGAGAAAGACTGCCTCTGAGAAGAGGCAGAAGAAATTGGGGCTGTTTAGCCCGGAAAAGAGAAATTCGAGAGGCGGCGTTGCAGCTTCCAAATATCGGGCCGGATGCGCAGTGTAGGCTGTGAACCGCCGTCCATGTTTTCTGGGGGATGGAGGTAGGGCATCCCTGCTGCTGAGTGAATGGACGGCACCAGGCTGATTGTACTGTCCATGCTGCTTACCATCCCCTTGGGACTGGGCTCTGTGCCGTCCAGAGGCCTGTGCTTGAGATAACGCTGAGGGATAGGGCCGAGCACAAGCACCTCGGGAGATGTGTAGGGGAAGACCAGAAAGTAGGGGATGGACATCTGTGTGCACAGGCCCCGAGTGTGGGGAGCATCACGTGTTGCTTTGCATGGACCAAGACCCCAGTTTGTGCTGTACTGTTAAGATGAGATCTAAACACACTTGGCAGACAGATAGCAATTAAACACATCTGCCCGGAGAATGTGAACTTGGGAAGAGGGTTTCACAAATGCAGTCTGAAGACTGAGGAAGCTTCCAGACTACCTGTCGTTTGTTTTCACAATGTTGGTGCCTGGTTTCTAATCCCGGCTCTGCCATTTACTAGCTGTGTGACCTGGGTCAGGGTACCTTACCCTTTCTGTGCCTATTTCCTCACATGAGATGAGGATTAAAAATTCTGCTTACTTCCATAGGATAGCTGTGCGGATTATTCAAATATGGGAATCTTAGAACAGTGCCAGCATATAGTAAGCTCTGTTAGGAAGACTTGCTGTTGCTGTTTTTAATAGTTAAGTTAAATAAGATGAGGAAAACTGGTAGAAGTTTCTCTTTGGGTCCTCCCATATAAATGCCATAGTTGCCAGGCAGCACGTGGCTTCTGGGAATTTGGAGAAGCTGAGGCGGGAGAACATATAAGGATTTAGTGAGATCTTGCAGATGATATTTGCTGCAAATGTTTCCTGCATTCTGTGTGCTAAGGACACTAAGAAAACGAGTAACTATCATCTGCAAAGTTCCTCCTTTGTACCAGACCCTGTGCCAGGCACTTTGTATGTTTCTCTAGTCCTTACACAAGTTTAGGGCAAGCTTTATTGAGGGTGGTTAAATGAAATCCCATTCAGAGTGTTTATAATTCAGTGGGAATGTGTCTCCACGGTGCCTGTGGACATGCTAGGTGATTGGGAGCCTACGAGGAGACTTAAAATGAGCACCATAAAAATGAATGTCTTTCATAAGGCTCCACGTGCTCATTCATTCATTCAAACAACAGGCCAGACTTAATCTTTATCTCCAAAAGACAAAGACGACACAGAATGAATGAATAACTCAGGGGTGCACCTTGCCAGTTGTGCGGTAGTAAGGAGAGGAGGAAAATTCTTTCCCGGCTCCCATAAATGACCCTCTCTTGACCCGAAGCAGAATTTTGTCTCTATTGTCTGAGTGTGTAATGACAGGCTTTATTAAGGAACTCGGTCGATTTGATCTTGGAATCGATGTCGGTGCCAGCAACCTCTTCTGAACTTTCCTTGGGAGCTTCAGGATTTTATAAAAAGTGTCTGCATTTGTTCCATTGACTCCCTAAATTGAGCTGCTCCTATCTGATGAAACGTGATGGGGAGTGCTCCATCCTGACAAATAAATAGTCATTTCCCAATTTGCACTGTTGATTAGTGGCTGCTTATGAGGCAGAATATTAATATTTCAAGTGCGCCTGGATAACGGGCATTTTCTCAGCTGTCAATTATGCAGTTTGGGGGTTTGTGCAGGAATGGAGAATCTTTACTAAAAATTTGTAGTTATTTTCACATTGGGATGGGACTCCTCATTTCCTTTTTTGGGGTCTGTTGGTAACCCTCTCTGGGCTTTTATTTAGATGGCAGGGCTTTTAGCTGAGTGGCAGCAAGACAAGCAAGACAGTGATTTGAGTTACAGCGGCACCAGTCCCACGGTCCGTGTCTGGGTCCCTCCCATGTGCAGGGCGCTGGGCAGAGTTCCACCAGTCACAGGTTCTGTGAGGTGACAGGTGTCACCTCCAGGGAATGTAACACTCTCGTGGAGATTTCAGGACCGCCCAGTGCTGTCCCTTGGAACTTGCTGTGCTGTAGAAATGTTCTGAGTGTATGCTGTACAGTACAGTAACTACTAGCAAGGTATGTCTCTTGAGGTTAGTACGACATTTTAATGAATTTAAATTTAAATAGCTGCACGTGGCTAGTGGCCACTACACTGGACAGTGCAGCTATCGACACTCAGAACTAACCCTAAGAGAATGCAGTGCAGCTATAACTTCCCAGTTATTATTAAGGCTGCATTAAGCTCTAACTCTGCCAAGCACTGTTCGAGTGCGCTGCACCTGTCCTCCCCAGCAGGCACGCCAGGAATGGCTCTCAGGTTGTGCTGACCCCCACGGCCCGTGGGTTGTCAGGGTCAGTTGCTACTTCATCTGTTTTACCCATTTGTCATCATTTTCTGCATGTGCTATAATGTGAAAAAGAGGTGGGAAGCTTTATATACATTATATACATTATTTCAAGTCTCACTCCATGAAACAGATGCTGTTAAGTGGCCACCCCCCTCTCCCTGCCATTTTACAGATGAGTAAACTGAGTCCTGGAGCAAAAGCAAGTTGCCAGAAGGCATGTGGGCAGGCTCAGTCTGGCATACTCGCTCTGCCACCCACTGCCTTAGAGCGGAGCCCGAGCTCCTACCAGCAGGCTGTACCACCTCTCTGAGAAAGGCATTTTTCAGGCTAATCATTTCATCTAGTTTTCATCTCCCTTCTAAGTATGAGGACTAGTCCCTCCTAAAGCTGAGCAGTGGCAACAGTAATAAGTTCAAGATGGAATGTGCCTTGTGGTAAGTCAGCGTTGTGCTCAGTCTGAAAGCAGGATGGTGAAGTGGTAAGAACTCTCTAGATTTGGAGTCATGCAGCCCACCAGTTAGTGAATGACTTCGGTCAGGGGGCTTAGCCTCTTGGACCCTTGGGTGCCTCACCTGGAAAACGTAGACAAGGGACACCCGCCAGCCCCAGCCTGGGTCCCATGATGGTGAATGGTGGCACATGTACCAGCCCTTGGTCACATCCACTCGAGGCAAGTGGAAGCCCTCCCATGGACCAGTGGAGGGTGCAGGGAGGTTCTGTGAAGCAAAGCCTCTTCCCTAATGCACTGCCATTCCACCGTCCAACTCTGTGGTTTTCTGTTTTGAAACGTGAAAATGGTCCCTTGTTCTCTTTTATCAATGTGGATTTGAAAGTGTGTGTTCTAGATGGAAGAGCCCCCAGTGTCAGCAGCTGAACAATAATTAATGCAGTGATCGTCCAATCAATCATTAATTGCTATAAATTAAGTGATATACAATTAATGTGATGCTTTATCACCAATAATTAGGGGAAAAAATTGAACTCTTGGCAAAGAATCATAGCAAGATGGTTATTTAAATCCTGTAGCTGCCATGGTTTCCAGCCACAGAGCCTTAAGTGGGGTCTAGTTAAGCTAATTTGAGACAAGATGACCAGGGGGTGCTTTAAAAAACAAAACAAAACCAAAGGTGGTGGTGGTGGTGGTGGTGGTGGGGTAGCCTGACTTAAACTAACACCATGATAATGCTTCAGAAACCCCTAAATGATGTCCATGTTTATATATTTGTAAAATTTTGAGTTGGAACTGTAGTTGGAGTGCTGTTTTTCTAGGGGAATGGCCTGAAGGGATTTTATTTTAATAATTTCTTTAAATCCATGATGCTCACCTAACACAGAGCAATTAGTGCAGTGGAGCGTCCCTGATTTGAATCTGCGGAAGATTGCTATTAAAGGAGGTATTAATGGGCTGGCACGGTCTGGGCGACGGTGAGGGAAAGTGTGTTTATGGAATACGGCGCTGGCAGGCATGATTTCAATCGGATTTGACATGTTTAACATAAATGTAGAGTGGGCCGTTCTCGCTGTGTATGAATAATTCCCACAGACCCACTGCCTTTCTAATTACTGAGGTTGAAAAGAGCAGGTCAGGCACATCCTGGTGGAAATCTATTACCAGCCGTCCCCCTATTCTCCCTGTTGTTTACGGCTTTGTATAAATCGGGGTGCCATTGTATGGGGAACTCTGTGCTCGAAATGTAATCTGTGACAGAGAATGGAAGGGAACTAAAAAAAACCCTTTACAAATTGAGTCTGTAAAGACAAAAGACGGTAAGTGCTGAGAGGAAG